CAAAATCAAGGAAAGGCCCATAAATTCAGTGGAAGGTGGATTGGACCTAAAACCTTTCAAAAGGTACGAGATGCTGCGTGTTAATGATCCATAGATATGTGGTTCAGTTCTGTAATAGGTGTTCAAGAAAATCTTACAAACAGTTGGAAAAATAAATGTAACTGACATTCCTCTCAAATTGTCACAGAATGCACTCCAGCTGTATTTATTATACACATTTTCCCCATGTGCTATGTGCTCGCATTCTTTCGTGATGAACGATGCTGTGTGTTGGAGTTGTCATGCTATCTTTCTTGTTTGAAACAGGAATGTGTAGGAGGTTATTTGAGGACAAAATACTGTAGGACCTCCTGTCATATTTTTGAACTTGGAGCATGGAGCTGAGCAGCAGCTGAATGGCTTGGTTTAGGAAAGAGTTTCAAGCAAAACACAGCCTGCTAATGCTACCGGTGCACTCATGCCTTGCTGCCCGTTTTGCTGTGTTTAAGAGAATCAAGGATCAGATCTCCATCTGTTGTTGTCTGACTTTTCATTTGAAGCCTTTGGGCATAAATTTTACTTTTCCGGTAAGGTAAAGTGTGGGCCATGCCTAATGCTCCTAGACACTACGGCAGCAGTAAATGATGCATTACCATGAATCACTGCAGCTTCACTGAAATTAATAAACTTGGCTGTCACCCAACTCTGGAAAAGCATTTCACCCTAGGGAGGCCTCCGAGTCCATCAGGGAGCGTACAAGAAAGCAAGTTGATCTTGTGGTATGCAGCAAATGTAAAGATCCAGTTTCAGAAAAGGAAAGAAATGACACAACATGTAATGCCATAAAAGCCATATGCCATCGCACAGGATATTACTCACATGGCATGGATCTTAAGAGCGACATGCATTTTGATCGCTATTTTACCCTTATGTTGCGACAACACACTAGAGTTATAGGAAAAATTATAAAGGCAGGCAGCATGTAGCTTAAGTTTAATGAGAAAGTTTCTAAGAAATACAAGAAGTTCATTTGTGGGGAAACCTTTCTGTTTCTGTTTTCTTCTGTCATTGCAGTTTTCTCCTGAGCATTTTGAATTTTGAAATTTGCTCCACATTTTTTCTTCCAATGGAAACAAAAAATGAACTAGCATCCCAAATCTCCTTTTCCTAGATGACCCTCTCCCTTCCTTAGATGTGTGCTGTTACCACTTGGCCAGCATCCCTTTCTGATTTTCTTTGACCTCTCTCTCTTGCGTTCCTGGCTGCACAGTGGCTCACTTGGAGATTGTTTCCTTCCTTGATCCCGGTGAAGGGCAGTGGTTAGGAAACTTTCCTGGGATGGGAATGCAATGGCTTCAGTTCTTTGAGAAAGGTCGAGCTCTCCCACTGTTGGGCAAGTGCTCTAATCACTCAGCTATTATGGAGAAACTGCACTTTTCCTGTTCTCTGTAACGAAATCGGTGCCAACGTTTCCTTCTCCTCCCATGAGCTCAGTGTTAAGGGTAAATACTCCGAGAAAGCACACTGGATCAACCCCCTTAGGGATGCAGGCAGAATTTAAGGGCCTGTCTACCTAAATCTAGATTGCAACAGAGCGGAAGACGAGGTGCCTGGATCGTTTCCCAGACTGGAAGGATACAGTGTTGTGCTCACAACACGTGCAGTCACTGCGGGAACTTGCAGAATGATCATGATATTCTGAGAGATGGAGACACCTAGTTTAGGCGATTTGGCTCTTGATCACTCTCAGGTACACATGCAAAATTCAGGCACCAGAAACCTTTTAAGCCACGTCTGTAACATTAACTACAACACTCAGCACTACAACTCAACCTGAAAAAGCTCTGGGAGAGTAGATTTGACTGTAGTAGATGTTGATGGGAAGTAGACTTGGAAGGAAAGTGTGCAGTCAGGGTGACTTTGCTGATGCAGTAGAAGCAACCTTATGAGAGAAAGTATGTGCTCAGTGTCTAAGAAGGACTGCCTGCCTTAACAGTGGTCTGTCCAGCTGGTAGGACAAAGCACAAAGATTGTCATAACTGGAGAATGGATGTTCAGGAAGCAGAGAAGAGATGAACTGGTGCTCAAATGATGTTTGAGAGTCATGCTATAACTTTTCTAATTATGCAGGTTACAACTAGCATCTATGGCCATTTCTGAGTGCTCTTACCAAGCAGTTTAAAACACATGTTTGCATACATCTGGGCTAGTTTAAAACAGAGAAAGAAGACAAAAATCTTCCAGAGACCCCCTGGGAAGGCATGATTTAGCCACTTGCAAATGCAGCCTTTTCAATGGAGGAAGGACGCAGTTGTGTTAGTGTGTCACTGGTCTCTGCCAGCCTCTTCTTGGGATACTGATTCAAAACCCTTTGTCGTTTCCAGGGAGAAAGAAAAAAGGGATATTTCTACAAAAACACACTCCTTGCTCTGTACCTAGAGATGATGTGGGATCCAATGTCGACTGGAGCATGAGTCATGTACTCCACGTGCATTACGGCGCTTGGTAAGTGGGCAGTGAAATACAGTCGCTGGTGCATGAGTCATCAGCTTCATGTGAGCGGGCGGTCAAATCCTGCATAAGCTGATTTTTCAGAGACATTTCTAAGGGTATTTTGAAGTATAGCATATGGCATGGGCAAATTATTTTGGTTTTGTTTGTGCTTGCTGTGGCTTCAGCTTTGGCCGAGGCCCCACGTTATTAGGCATGACATATCCTACAAGTTTTATTTTCTGTCATTCCAGCTTTGACATGCTTGTCTGGAGAAGTTTCATCATCTGGTTCTCTGTAAGCAGCTTCCATTTCTCTTTACATTCCAACAGAAATGAGGAAGTGAATGGAAATAGCAAACAAGATAAATGAAATACACTATTTCTTCTGCTGTTAGAGCTGCTTTGGCATCAGACTATGGTTCTGGTGAGTTTTAAACTCAGAATATGTATTTTCCCTTTCACTAGTTCTCCTTTTAGTGTCATTTGATGATATAAAATATCTGTAATCCTCTGTCCTGCTGTTCCAAAACTTCACCTGGCACCTCATAAAGCCGCAGAAATCCTGCCACTTTCTGAGACAGGGCTCCTGCTGCAGCCAAAATACCCCCAACTGAGTTTCACAGAAGCCATGCCCTACTCGTACTTTTTATGCTTAGGGCCACATATGGGTTAGACACTCCCTCCATCTTCATACGGAACTGGAGAAAGATGGTACTTGGCTTCCTCCCAATTTTCTCCGGACCCTTGGTATGAGGAGAAATGGTATGAGAAGCCCCTGGCTCATGAGGAACACAAAAAATGGCAACTTTCCGAGTTGTAAGAGAAAGACAGCCAGCTCAGGCTGGACTGGATGAGACTTCTCGACACTGCTCCTTGGACTTGTCATCTCCCAGAAAAACAGCCTTGTTCTGCTGCCAGCTGTCATTGCTGCTGCTATCTCAAGGAGCAGCCGTGTGCACCACAATGCATGGTTTAGAGTGGAAGCTCCCCTGGTGACTCATGAAAGTGTTGTATTTAAAAGCTGCTAGCAAAAAGGGATTTTTTAAAGCTTTTTCTTAATATAAAAATCAGTCTTCGGTGCAACTCCCCCTCCAAAAAAACAAACAACAAACCCAAACCAAACACGAAGACCATCGCATAATCAGACCGGTTGCAAGGCACAGCGATCAGAACTCGGGACACTGTGGATGTGGAGGTGCCCATAGCACCCTTTCTTGTGGCTGCTGTATGATTACACACCCGCTGCGCCTGCATACTCGGTTGCTTTGTGCCGGGCGCAGGAGCCAGCCTCTTCCAGTGTCCCCCGGGACACCTGATGGAGCAGGATCAAACTCGTAAGAGCACGGACTGGCCCTTCCCAGCTTTCGAGGACCTCATGTACAGCCCGAACAGTAGTTTCTTGGAC